CTTTTCCATCGAGTGTGAGGAGTGTAAAGGGAGACATTGAAGTGCATTTTCTTAAGTTCGGAGGATTTGAAAAAGCCACAAGGACACAAAAGCAAAATTCAGTGGTCCTCTCACACATCTAACCTCGTTTATTTCATGCAAAGAATGTGAGCTCGTTACGGTAAAGAGAGGATTTGTGCTGTATCCCATATAGTTCCGCCATGTATTCTATTATTGTTGAAAAGACGAAGGAGACAAAATGAAGACTGGCTTAATAACGACAGGCAATGAGTTACTGATAGGCATTAACTTCAAGGCGAGCTTCTCCAAGTAAATTATCTCAAATTCTGTGTGGAAACTCCTTGCCAAAGGCCTCTACAGTATCCGAAGTTAACAGCGACTAAACCTGTGGTAGCAGCATAAATTCTTTGAACAAACTTATTGAATTAAACAATTCATTGACTGAGGAAGTAATTCAAGATTAGCACCTTTGCTCAGGTTGTAAATATTATCTTACAGGAAAGAAGACATAACCTCCAACGCTCACAACTGATTTGCAAATCCTGTTTCCTGAACAAAGCTGACTCTCAGTGAAGACCCTAATCTTTGCCTCTACCATATGAAACGGGACATTTCGCGTGATATAACAGAAACATGAGTTCTCCGCGTTCGCGTACTCTATGTATATTAAATAACCCTGTTTTGTTGCGCTCGCGCCCTTAATGACAACCTGCTCTGTCTAGACATTTACAGATTGAGAATAAATCTAAGCTAACAAAATTCAGCAAGGGAAAGCACTTCGTAATCTCTGCATGACCTTTGATACAATAAACCGGAAGCTGAGTCATTTTCACCCGATGGGAATTTTCCCTAAGTAAGAGTAGACAGCCTAGTAAATGAATAATTTATGACAAACACTTTCTTCTGAACCAGGCGAGAGTTCCGGTTTCCTTCGCAGAGCCCTAAAGAAGGTAGGAAAAGCTATGAGAAAAGCTATGAGAAAAGTCGTCTTCAAACCAGTAGAAAAAGCATTCAAGGAGGTGGTCGAAAAACCAGTTAAGCCTGTGCTGAGAGCTGTAGGACTCAAGAAAGTTCGCAAGACATATAGGGAGTTCCAAAAAGAGGTGGTCAATTCTCGGGTGACTTTCACTGAAGACTCCTACCGAGTTGACAAAATCAACCCTTGCCCTAACGGACAACATGATATTATGGAAACAGAGCATCCAGTCGAGATTCACTTTGAAGGAAATGTGGTGGTGTTACAGAACAGTTATTGCCGAAAATGTGGACAGCATTTCTTCAACACTAAACATAAGGATGAACTGTAAACGCAAGAGTGAACTTTAAACTAGCGGGACATTCGTACAAACCTGGAATGAAATGTTTATTATTTCTTTATTTCCTAAGAGCTGGATATTGTTCATTAAATGTCATTTAGAAATAAGTAGCAGCCTCTGTTGGTCGAAAAAAAAACATTTATTTTAATCTATATTTTCTGACAACTCGTTCTTGCAATTAATTATAATTTGTAGACATTGTAGTTCGTTAACTATCTCGTAATTATGGGTGACCTCGAATCGTTCAGCTGTAATGAACTTTTTGAACATACTGAATACAAAAGCCTTTGCGTTCAGAATTCTATCTTTTTTCCTTGCAAAACTTCAGGAACATTGTCTCATGTATCGGTCGATTGACTATTTATAAAGATTGTGTTACTCCAAGGTAACCGGCAAATTGTCCCCATTGTCTCTGTACAAGCTATTTGAGAGATTTGTAGAGCACTGGTTCTCCGATCACTGTTACCACACAGTCGAAAACTTCTTGCTATTCTGGAGCTTATCCGTTCTTGCTACAAAATTCTATTTTTTTTCTTTGCAAAACTTCAAGAACATCGTGTAAGTAGGGTGTCTCATGTATCGGTCGATTGACTATTTATAAAGATTGTGTTACTCCAAGGTAACCGGCAAATTGTCCCCATTGTCTCTGTACAAGCTATTTGAGAGATTTGTAGAGCACTGGTTCTCCGATCACTGTTACCACACAGTCGAAAACTTCTTGCTATTCTGGAGCTTATTAAATTTTATTAAATTTTTAGCTCCCTTTCAATTCTAAGCTTATGCATACGCTTACCATATCGTAGTTTATGGTATATTGGCTCATATACCATAATGGCTAAGCCAATGAAAAGTCTTGAATTGCATTATCCAATGATCCAGTTTTTAATAATTATAAAGATTGTGTTACTCCAAGGTAGCCGGCAAATTGTCCCCATTGACTCTGTACAAGCTATTTGAGGCCCAACATTAGGATATTCAGTCTGATCTAGCTGTATCGTTTTTACTTCTACAGTAAAAACCCGCGTATAAGAACCTTGAATTTTGGAGTTCAGGCTGAACAGGTTCTCATATTTTGGGGTATTTTTTTTCCAAGAACAGGCTGATTAGGTTCTTAGTAGGTTCTTATTTGCAAAANTTCATGGTTACATGAGAAAATTTAAATTCCCCCCCCACCCCTTCCTCTACCGCTCCCTCGCAAAGAGAACCGGATCAATCAGTTTTCACGTCCAGCAGGTCTTCTTTTTAATACAAACCGCAAAAATTTATAAAAGTTGCCATTTTGATTTATAAGTAAAGCGAAAAATGCTATACCTCTTTCGTCGATTACCGTCGCCTGTTTGAAACCTAAGTGAACTGAAAGAACTGCGAGGGACAAAAATGACACTTGCACCAAATTCTGATTTCTGAGAGGAGTGGCCTTCGATAAAGACCTCATCAACAAGTCTATCATCTGAAAAAGAGCTTTCTCGTGTTTTGTCATGAATCATCGCAGTCGAGCAGTAAAACACATCTTTGAGTCATCGCATTTGCGCGGAAATAAGGGAATTATTTAAAGAGCCCATCAAGGGCTCCTGGTCATTTGAATTTCTATTAGAATTCTCATTAGAGGCTCTTCAGTCCAAATAAAATCTGTAAACGAAACAGCTTGAACAATCAGTTTCTAAAAGCCACGGAGATGTGTTACCTTTTAAATCCTTCGAGAAAAAGCTAATATTTGTGTGTATTATATCGCTGGCAGCGACAATGGACAATGTAAAACGAATCCATGTTTTGATTGGCTACTCGAGCAGCCAAAATGGGCCTGGCGTGAAAAATTTCACAGCAAATTCCTAAAGAAGCTCGAGTTAATGCTTCTAGTTCGTTGTAAATTAACAGTGGAACAGAAGTGTAGTATTTAAGGTCAATGGAATCGGCCTTGTCTCTCACTCAGCTCCATTACAGACAGTTGTGATAGTCTCTCTAAACCTGCTATGTTCTCGTTTACCTGTAAACAACGTGTCGCTAAGAGACCCGCATGTTTGACCGAATTTAAAAGTGGAAAAAAATATGAACGCATCGTTAAGCAAACTTAATCACAGGCGGCCCAAGCTCTCTTTAAGAACCACACAAGGAACACAATTTGCATATCGATTTATAACGATTTGTAGGAGATTTTCTACAAGATATCCATGGAGATAGTTAAAAGTGAAAATATTATATAAAAATGGCTTACCTTATTCTATACGGGTGTTGTTTGCTCCTGGTGGCGTTATTTTACCGATTTAACTTGATTTAAGCGGTTTTTTTTAATCCTGGTTTTCTCTTCTTAAAGAGAAATCAAGGCCAAACACTTTTGTCTAGACAGCCGCCCGAACAAAGTAAAAAATCCCAAGGTAAAATGTACCCACGGCCACAAATTCACCGCAAAATTGAAGGGCAAAGGTTGATCTTTCATTTCGATTCTCTAGCTAGCCACACAATCTCAGCCCTGCGATCGAGGCCAGGCGGCTCAGTTCGTGTCCTCAGTGAAATGCTAAAACGATGGTAGACATCCGCGTCATTTTAACCACGACACAACGGCCGTTGAAATCGGCTTGGTAACCTCGTCAGGTTGGCAAACCAAGACTCGCGGAGGTACTAGACCCCAACTTGTCAACAAAACGTCTTGTTTCACTTTTAACTATCTCCATGGATATCTTGTAGAAAATCCCATACAAATCCTTATTAATCGATATGCAAATTGTGTTGGGCTGCCTGTGACTGAATAGACTTCAGTTTAGACTAGTGCTGCATAAAGAAGCGCTGTGCGTTTGGTTTTTGTAATGATTTTAGGAACCAGCATGCAGGACTTATCAAAAATGGTCCAAGTCTGCAAATTACTACGGAAGGAAAACTGAAGGAAAAGAACTGAGAGGAGTCAAAGACAAGAGATTA